GATTTCTAAGGCAAGGAGAGGAAACCACAAATTTGGAGTATTTGAAACAACTGAATAAATGACTACAGGATATACAGTTAGGGACACTTCGGCACTGTTTGGGAGATGGACTAGAGGGCTGACCTGGTAAGTTTTCCTCACCAATTCTTGACATGCTACGAGTACACACATTTCAAGATTTCTTAATTCATAATCTGTTTGATCCAGGTCCCATCAAATGTTCTGAAGTGTATTAAACCACAAGAGGAAATCTTGAGCAGCTTGTTAATATCAGCAGAAATCCAGATGGAATTACATTAATCTTTTGTGAGGCCATATGATATCATTTGGGAAGCGGATATACTTTAATGCACTGAACTGTCCAACAAGCCAAACCATCCTAAAATCCGAAGTCTAGGGAAGACTGTGCGCCATCCTCAAAAACACTTCAAAAGGGGGATGAATTCAGTAAAACCTGGGCATGACCTATGGGAGTTGCAGGGGCCAACAAGGATGCAGAGGAAAAACAGCAGCAGGGGACCAGAAAGAATATAAAAGAATATGGTTGAATTTTGGACAGGGGAAATGCAAAAAGCAAAGTTTGTTTGGTACTGTGATGCCTGTTAATGAACCAACCTCATAGTTAGAAGAGATATGAGACAAGATGTCAGGGGCAAAACAGAGAGGACACAATGTCTATGCCAGTGGGTCTCAACTTCAAGGCGCCTGCTAGATAATGCCAGCTCTTTGCTTTCATTCGGTTTTCAGCTACTGAAAAAGAAGAGAGTGACTCTTTCGTTGCAAAGAGCTCAGGAAGACCACAACAGGGCAGGTTGTTATTTCTGATGGTATTGATGCCCATCTGAAATCGCTTGGTTTATCTGGGTTATTAAACATAAAACCTTTTGCAGAATTGCATTTCACAGTAAGGTGCCAGTTTTAAGGTCAGATTCCTATTGGAAATCTCTGGCTTCATCTTGTGCGTGTGCGTACCTCACATTGCACGGCACCCTGCAGTGCCCTTAAAAGGCTCTCACCCTCCACCTCTGCCCCATTTGAGAATCCCTTATCTAAACTATTGGCCAAAGGGGAGCACCTGGGGGGCAACAGGGAAGTTTCAGGGCTGCTGTCACCAGGCTGCCAGCATTGCAAGCATCGGGACTCATTGCCCTGCCCTTTTCATCCCAGGCAAGGAGCTAAGCTGTTCTCAGTGGTGACAGATGACAGAACAAGGAGCAATGGTCTCAAGTTGCACCAAGGGAAGATTAGATCAGTATTTCCCAACCAGCGTGCCGCGGCACAAAAGTGTGCTGTCAGAAATGAACAGGTGTGCTGCAGAATTTTGCCATGGCAATGAGCTACAGTAAGTATGAGGATGGGGAATGCCTCAGCAGGTGTGCTGCAGAAAATTTTTATTAATATAAGTCTGCCTTGGGCTGGAAAAGGTTGGGAAATACTGGGTTAGACATGAGGGGAAGCTCTCTCATGAGGAGGGTAATAAAGCACTGGAACAGGCTACCCAGAGAGGTGGGGGGGCTCTCCAGCCTTGGAAGTGTTTAAGCCCCAGCTAGGCAAAGCCATATCTGGGTTGATCTAGTTGGGGATGGTCTTGCCTTGCACAGGTGGCTGCACTACACCTCCTGAGGGCCCTTCTGACCCTCTTTTTTTTTTTTTTTTTAATATAATTTGAATCTGAGGCCAAACTAGCCAAACCTTACTCCAGATCCAAGAGTCCAGAACCAGAAGTGGCCCTACTACCGACAAACATCCTCCACTCGCACCTGGGGCTTCAGATGTTTCCATAACCTTTGGCGGGCATCCTACTTGGGCTTCGGACGCTCCCGAGCTTTGGTCACCCTTAGACCTAAGGCGCTGGGAGCAAGCAAGGGAGGAGTCTCCCGTTTCCACAAACTGGCCTTAAGCTCCTACACCTCGGCCGGCGGGTACACGAACCAGCCCAGAAGAGCAATTCTGCGGAGCG